CGAGATGAACTACCCCACCCACGACTTGGAGTTAGCCGCAGTGGTTCATGCTTTGAAGATCTGGCGGCACTACCTATACGGAGAGAAGTGCGAGATATTTACCAACCACAAGAGCCTGAAGTATATCTTTACTCAGAAGGAGCTCAACATGCTATAGAGGCGATGGTTAGAACTCGTCAAGGACTACGACTTCATGATTAGCTACCATCCGGGGAAAGCTAACGTGGTCGCCGACGACCTTAGTCGGAGGAGTCGAGGCGAGTTGACTAGTATGATTGTTCAACAGGAGAAGTTAGCTCGGGAGTTTGCTTAGATGGAGATTGAGATCGTGGAGTCGACTTCGATGGCCAGTGGTATCTTGACAGCATTGGTTGTGGGACCTACTCTTCGGGAGAGAATAGTAGCTGAGCAACGAACGATCGCTTTCTATGCCAGATAAGACAGTTGATGGAGGTCCACATTGGAGGATTTACAGTTGCACCTGATGGGGACATAGACTTCCAAGGAAGGCTCTTTGTTCCAAAGGTGTTGGCACTGCAAAGAGAGATTTTGAAGAAGGCACATAACGCCCCGTACACCGTCCATCACTGGAGTCGAAGATATACTAGGATTTGAAGAGGTCCTTCTGGCGGAGAGGACTAAAACGGAACGTGGCGAGGTACGTAGATCGTTACTCGGTGTGTCAAGAAGTTTAAGCTGAGCACAAAAGACCTTCGGGATTGCTTCTTCCACTCGACATCCTCGAGTGGACGTGGGAGCATATCATGATGGATTTCGTGGTAGGTTAATCGAGAGGGCTGGGAAGGATTCTATCTGGGTGATTGTAGATCGATTAACTAAGTCCGCCCATTTTCTGCCTGTGCGATCAACTATGAAGATGAAGGAGTACGACCTACTGTATATTGATAAGATAGTCCGACTCCGTGAGTTGTCTACATCGATTGTATCAGACCAGGACCCACGGTTCACCTTTAGGTTTTTGTAATTTGCACCGTGCCTTGGGAATGAGCTTGACGTTTAGTACCGGTTATCACCCTAAGACCGATGGGTAGTTGAAGCGTATGATTCAAACTTTGGAGGATATTTTGAGGTTGTGCGTGCTTGATAGGGGTGTTCCTGGGAGGAGTCTCAGCCGTTGGTCGAGTTAGCCTATAACAATAGTTATCAGGCATTGATTCAGAAGGAACCATACGAGACATTGTACGGACGGAGGGTCAGGACCCCATTATATTGGGATGAGATTTGCGAGATCAAGATTTTGGGGCCGGATATCATTAAGAAGACCACGGAGCAGGTGGATGAGATCGGGAAGAGGATCAAGACAGCCAAGAATCGATAGAAGTCCTACTCCGACAACCGAAGGAAGGACCTGTAGTTTGAGGCAGGTGACCATGTCTTCTATAAGGTCGAACCAATGAGGAGTGTTGTTCTCTTCGGGAAGAGGGAAAAACTTTATCCTCGCTTTATCGGGCCTTTCGAGATAATTTCCTGAGTTGGTGACTTAGCCTATCAATTGTTTTTGCCACCTGAGTTATCGGGATTCGGGAGTGCATGACGTATTCCATGTCCCGATGTTACGGAGATACGTGCATGACCCCGAGCACGTGGTGAACTTTGACGAGTTGCAGGTAGAACGAGACCTTACCTATAAGGAGCTACCGGTGGCTGTACATGACCGGAAGGTGTTGGGTTCGATAGTACCGTACGAGCTTTAAGCAGCGGAATTTAAAATTTTTCAAAGTAATTATTTATCGAATAAATACAACACCCGTACATACTAATTGCGAATTAACTGATCGTCATCTTTAAAACATGCATCACATACAAATTTTGATTTGTTATAATAAAGTAAATACAAATACAAATAAATAGTATTTACCGAGTAGTTCTTGAACTCCTTCAATTTAACCGAAGTGGATTGTGGGAATCGGTTCCCGGTTTGTAACGTCAACGGATTGAGGTTACTCGCTTGAGGAATCCAAGTGTCTTCCCTCTAATCGTATCCACCCTATGAAGCCCGGTTCCGACTACCTTCCTTCGCTAGTAGGAATGTCTCGGTTTTCTCGTATAGGAATATATATATATATAGATATAATTTGGGAATTTCCAAGAACACTTTCTTGAAATATATGAAGAACACTTTCTTCTCTCTTTGAATTTCTCACAAAATCACTTAGCATAATTTGCAAACATTTTGCATCTATTTATACTAAACATTTTAGCATAAAATAATCAATATTTAGTAATATTAAATAAAATCTGATTTTATTTAAAAATCATATTACTAACTATTGACTTTATATATAATAAACAATGTTAAGTAGTTCAAACAACCATCTAACCACCATTTATTATATTCATTTTATTATTTTAATCCTTAAATCATATTTAAAGATAAAAATAATAATATAATAATAAATCTTGAGAATCTATTCCAAGACTTTATTATTATATTCATTTCCCAATTTTCATCCATATTATAATAATCATATTATTATTATTTTGGATTTGAAATTTAAAATCCTATTTTAAAATTCAACTTTATTAATTTAGTAATTACTTTAATTACTAAAGTAATATCCAAAATGTAATTAATCAATCTTATTGATTAATATATTCCTTTAATTGACATCTAATCAAATTAGATATTTATCAATTAATTCTAACCATTAGAAATACAATCTTTACCTTTGTTCATAATTAGTGTGACCTTTTAGGTTCACTATTAATACTAGTAGTGGGTTTACAACACTTTGTAATTTGAGTTAAATCTTATTAACTCTTATTCAAGAATTAACCCCTTAATTCATGAACCCACATATCATGGTAACACCTAGCAAGTATCATGAATCTAGTATTAAGTGAATAGCGAGTAAACCTATTCCGATTACAACTCCATACATGTAAAATCCTTTCGACATCTAATTTCCCGATTAAGTCTTGGGTATGATTTTGTCGAAACCCAAATTGACTTAATAACTATGATTCTATTTCATGTTTATTAACCCGGTTATGAATCACTATTCATCTCTGCCTTGGCCAAGGACTTTGGATTAATAACTATGAAACACATAGGAAATTCACTTATCTTCATAAGTGTCGAATCCTTTATTGGCCACTAACAAACTTCCATACATATTAACATAATACCCAACTTATCCCTTTAAACGATAGTGCTAGCTACCAAAAGGATAAATCAAAGTAGAATGTAATATGCACAAAGTTACCATTGTGCCTCAAGTCTTAGGATTAGTCATGTACTATTGTAACATGAAAATTCTTATTCGACTGAATAAATTCTTCATTAAGAATTTTCATACGGTCATGTTCAGTGAACTTGTTCTCTAACAAGCACCCACATAAATGTACTTACGTCTTACGCTAATGTTGATGGAATGCAACATTCTTGTCCAACAAGCATACAAACTATGTGCAAGTCTTTTATGGATTATTCGATATCCCATCTCGAAACATCCATCGACTTGGAACTGTATTTAAGATCACGGCTTTCAAGGTATGTTCCATGATCACCATCTCTATGCGCAACCATACCTTAACCATAAGTGATCTAGGGATTTTATCTTAAGTGCAATTATAAGATAAATGTTTTCTCTTAAGATAAAGAAATGCCTTATTCATAATATAATTCCAATAGACTGTATTTACAAGTAGAATACGTCCAATTAGATTGGAACGCCGGGTACCCTACTCTAACAGAAGGTTCATCAGCTGAGGAGCCGGGTAGTGGACCTCGTCAAAGTGCAGTGGAGCTGCCATGGAGAGGCCGACGCGACTTGGGAGAGTGAGGCCTATATCCGGAGAAAGTATCCGAACTTTATGTTCTGAGGGTTCCTCTTGCACTTGGCTGTACCTTATTTTCCGCTTTGAAATTTTGTATTTCCGTGGACAAAAATTTTTAAGGAAGGTAGATTGCAGCGCCCGTTTCGATTTATTTGGTATTTCGCGCTTATTTATTTATTTTCTGGCATTTTAATTATTATTAATTGCTCATTTTTATGTGATTGCCCTTGTTTAATTTAATTGTGTTGCTCTGGTATTGTTATGTGTTTTGATTTTATTATTATTTTACGTGTATGGCTTGGTTAGAAATAATTTCATTTATTACTTAGTTCGATCGATATTTTCGGTTCAATCGCGTAGAACCGTTTTGATCCATTTCGACCCGTTTTTGAGGCGTATTATCCGAACCATAGAGTTTAATTTCCATCTCAAATTACTTGTGATCTTTGGCTCAAATACTGAGGCAAAAATCGGCCCTTTGGTCAACCAAAACCTAACCTGGGCCTTAGACCAATCTAGCTCCACCTTGCCTTTAAATTTCAAATTGAATAGGCTTATTATGGAAGATTTTTTCTAGCTCTTAATCTCCTCCTTTGACCGTGATATTAAGGCTCTTGATGAGAATTTGTGGCCCCAAATATGGTATGAAGATATACCTTAATCCCCTCATCAATTTTGGAAATCAACCATATCATTATCCTTCTCATATGCACACGGTTTTTCCCTCTCCTTGCCTTAAGAAATTTCTAAAAAATTCCTCTTCCTCACACCTCTCCTTTGCTCTCGAAAAATTAGAAGAAAAATGAGAAAATCGCACCTTGAAACTAGCTCTCCTCCATCGGCCACTATCCATCACGGCAGGCCACGCGCAACCCCAGTCCGCCGGTGCCCGCCCCCGCGAGCGACGCGCGACGCACGCTTGCCACCACGCGACTCGATCCCATTGAGTAGGTTATGCCCCGACCACGCATGGCCACTTCAAGTCCCTGTCGATCGCCTGCCATCACGCCTCAGTCTACGCGAGCCCGCCCCCGCAGCCGACCCTTGCACGTCCATGTCGAGCAGAGGCTAAGCTTGCTGCCGAGACAGCCTCCTTGCCTGATTAATCCGCCGCTTGCTTGTAGATTCCGTGGAGTATGGTAAAATGTCTTGATCCCACTTGTTCGGTGTTGTTCTTGATGAGATTCATTAGATCTAAAATGTTGAAGTTTAGATCTAAGGTGTAAATTTAAATATCCTTTGATTTGGATTTATGATCTTTAGTTTTATGTTTTCTTGTGGAAATTTATGGGAATCTATAATCTGTTTTGGTCCCTATACTGATATTTGTTTGCCAATGTTGATGCCTAGGAGTTCTAAATTTAATTTTGAATTTTGGAGCTTATTAATGCCTTGTGGTTCAAAATTTTTTATAAATTATTTAGAGTTGAGTTAGACCTTGAAACTTCATGTGTTGAACCTTCGGTTGGTACTCTAAAACTAGTTAAAGTTTCGTGATTTAATTCAATCTCTAGCCCCTTGAACCAAGCCTCGAAAAATTGTCGACTGTTGTCGAGCCACAACCTCAGGCACTGGCCGAAGCGCGCACGCGGGCCGCGACACTGGCAGGCAGATTCCTTGCAGCGACGTGAGCAGCTTGCAGCGAACGCGTGCTAGCCGCGTGTTGTGCCCCCGTGCAGGCCCCGTACCGCGACACCCACACCCGAGTTCACGCCCGCGTACCCTCTGCCGTCCGCGAGCCCCAGCAGCTCCTGCAGCGTGCTGGCTAGCCTCAACGTGCTCCAACATCCACCAGCTAGCAGGCTCAACAGTCTTCACTCGTAGAGATCCGCAGGCTCCACTAGCAGAGGGTAATGACCATACTCGGATTGTAGAGCAGTTCCGTAATATGCTGCCTCCGATGTTCACTGGAGTGGAGGGTCCGACAGCTTTGACGGAGTGGGTTCGTAAGCAGGATCAGATTTTTATGGTGCTCCGATGCTTAGACACCCAGCATATCAACTATGCCGAGTTCCAGATGGAGGGCAATGCATCCGACTAGTGGACAGATTATTGGGTTCTGAGACCGGAGGCTGAGCATACTGCCCTCACTTGGGCGAGGATGAAGGAGATAATCATGGATAATTAGTTTCCTCAGAGTTATCATGACGGTACGGAGCGGAAAATCTGGGATCTCAACAGGGGGCCGTGACTGTTGATGAGTATGCTCGGGCATTTACCTGGTTGAGTTCCTTCGCTCGACACATGGTCGATACGGAGGAGAGGAAGGCTCGCAAGTTCAGGGATGGGCTTCGGCAGGACATTCGTGTTTTGGTGGAGAGTCATGGGGACCTTCCTTACGCAGAGACCGTCATCCAAGCACAACAGATCGAGAGTTGCATGGCTCCTGTCGCCCCAGTTCCTTCATACCATCATGCCCAGACTACCTAGCTAGCCATCACCGCTCAGCCCTCTTCTGGCCTGAATAAGAGGAGGAATGACCATCACTCTAATCGCAAGAGGGGCAAGCGCCACAATAATGACAGACGAGATGACCGTCCGACAGCTTAGAATGCCCAGCCCATCCGCCAGATTCCAGTCGGATTGCCACGTTGTGGAAATTGTGGTGGTTACCACAAAAATGGAGAATGTCGTGCGGCCAGGAAGACTTGCTTCAACTACGAGAGGCAAGGACACTTCGCCCACATGTGCCCCGAGCCGAAACACAGAATCAGGGATCGTTCCAACAGCCGAAGCAGCAGCAGCAACAACGACAGGACCAACCGAGATTGGGGGATGGAGGTCAAGCTCCCGTATACATGCTGGCCCAAAATGAAGCCGAATCGAACCAAGGCTGAGCAGCTGATCGAATAAACATGCTAGTCATATCGAGGACATCAATAGAATGTTTCTCACAAAACTAATAAACCTCGTCAAATAATAAATCCCATCCACTATCTCTCAACTCTTGAAGTTGATATCTACAAACTCTAACCAAATCCATTGCATTCACAATATCTTGGTCTCTCGTTTGTAGTGCTTGGGACAACTCATTTGATATTCCCAAGATGATTTTCATCATATGAAAATTTAGCACAAATTCAAAGCAATGAATCAACTTAAATAATATCTCAACCTCTACCTTTTGGATAGAAGTAGAATACTCATCCGCATAGATCACATCAAGCACATCACCCACGGGAGAAAATAAAGAAATCAAGCTAATCAATGATCTATAATGCAAACCCCAACGTGTATCATCCGGCTGTTGAAAACTAGCTTCTTGGTTAAGACCCCGTCCACTTGAAATCTCACCCCTTTCTAGTGCCCCATCAATATAGCTCATTTGTTTTTCACGAAGAAGATCACAACGTTTAGAAGAACCTCCAACAACATTTATCAATTGAGAAACCACCCGAAAGAAATCAGTAATTGGAAGAGTGGATACAAGGGCTAGTTGGAGCTGATGAGCAAAATAATGAACATAATGTGCACTTGGGTTCTCATTTAAAATAAGTATTTTTAAACCACTAAGCCTCCCTTGCATATTACTAGCCCCGTCGTAACCTTACCCTCGCAATCTAGATATGCTCAAATTATGTCTCGAGAACATCTTGTCAATGGCATCTTTAAGAGAAATTGCCGTAGTACTTATGACATGTTCAACTCCAATAAAATGTTCTTTTACATGTCCACAAGAATCTACATATCTCAAAATGATGGACATTTGTTCTTTAGTAGATATGTCACGAGACTCATCAACTAAAATAGAGAAAAAAAAATCTCCGACATCTTTTAATATCACATTAACAGTTTTTGCGGCACAAGCATAAGATAAATCTTTCAAAATGCAAGGAGCTGTTAACTTGCAATTTTTAGGAGCATTTTCCATTGTCACCAAAGCAATACGATCATTATGAGCTCTTAAAAATTCCAGAGTGACAAGAAAATTACCTTGATTAAGAGAATCTTTCGATTCATCATGACCCCGGAAAGGTAGCCCCAATCGCAACAAATGTCGTGCACAATCAAGAGATGCAGTGAGTCGAATGCGATAATCATCCCTCATTTGTTTAGACTTGTTTTCTAGAGTTGTCTGAATGTGCACATTTTGATTCATCAGTGCATCACAATTCATTCGCCCTTGATTGTGTTCATTGTCATGTTTCTCGACATGAACATCAAGTCTCGATTTTTCTTTCCAAGACCTGAACCCCTCTGTAGCCAATGTTTCCCCTCCTGATTGTTTTCCTCTATTTGGTTTAAAAATATAATAATAGAGACAATATTCTGCATCTTAAGAAATGCTATACTCTAACCACTCATGTTCTGTAAACCAACCAGGAATAAATCTTCTAGCCTTTGTTGATGACGTTGAGGCTTTCGTCATGGGAAAATGGTGATCAAACGGTCGACAAGGGCCTTTATGCAAATATTCTCTTCGAACTTGGTCTCTAATCTTTGGACTGTACCGTGAGATTGGAATTCTCAATCCGGGATCAGGGGGAAGGTGAGAAGAATCAAACTCATTGATCATCATTAAACTTCTGGTCGTATTTTCTTTATGCCTAGTGACATTAAATTTTTTCTCAAATCTATTTGAATTCAAAGTATCTCCCTTTGAGACACAAGCACTTTGTTGACGGGGCCTTTTTGGAAAATATCTCTCCATATCTGATATACAAAAAATAGTATATAAATTTACAATCAATAAAACTCTCTATTTTGATATATCACAACCTAAAGAGCTATAAACACCTTAGGGATTGAATTTGCAAATTCTACATAAAAAGAATATATTTACCATGACCTAAATAATAAAGTAGAATAATTTTTAACTCCACCAAAAAATAAAGGGATTTTGGTACCTCGCAAGTCATCTTCTCGAACAATTAGACCAAAAATTGATAAGCTCTTTGACCCTTTTTTCTCTTTTCCCTCTCCCTCTTTCCCCTCTTTTCTCTATTTTTCTTTCTGTCTGTGCGTCTATATTTTTCTGTGTCTGTGCGTTTGCGTGAAGTTCCAGCTCCCTTTTGTTGAATTTTTTTAATGTTTATTAAATAATTTATCATATTAGTATATTAGTCATAGTTATTTGGTGATAATGGGTTCAAATGTTCAATATATAAAAGAGGAATTTACACTCTCCACTTAAATAATTTGAAAATATTATATAATTACATTCCCCATGTAATTATTTGTAAATTAGCTAATTTTGTTAATTTTATTTGCACATATGCCTAAAAAGATGATTCCCTATTTACATGGTAACTTTCCATCAACTGATTTCCTATTAAATGGTAATTTCCCATCAACTACGTCTCTCTCCTATCCCTCTCTCTCTTCTTCACACACGACCCTATCCCTCTTTTCTTCACACAAGTCCCTCCACCGTCGGCGCCACCACCACCTCACCGTCCGCGCCAATAGAATTAATCGAAGCAGTCGACTCCTCCGGTCCCCCTTCCAAGACGAATAGCATCAATCGAACCCGTCGTTTCGACTGAATCAGTCGACTCCTCCAATCTCCCTTCACACAAGTCAGCCACCTCCTCCAATCCCCCTTCCGCCGCCGCATCCGCCTCCGTCTCGCTCAAGCACCGTCTCGCTCAAACATCCGCGACGAGAGATGCATCTCGCTCAAATTTGCACTTGTGATTCGTCGATGAGGTACTCTTCAAGATCGTCTTGGCTTTTCGAGGCCGTCGTGTTGGTCTCCACGCTCTGCGCCTTCTTCCCTTTCTGCTGCTGCCATTTCTAATATATATTTTTAATTTATTTTTTCTGAGTATATATGCAGTATATATGCAGTATATGTACAGTATATGACCCGCGTCCCTGCCAAAAAATAAGCTTATGTTTAGTATATTAGCAAATTTTTTTGTTGACGAATGTTTGTTTCGGTCGGGTTGATTTTCTTCAGTATATTATTAGTCTTTTGGGAGGAAGGAGAATTGCTTATTTGTATCATTTTGTTTTTGTTCAGTTGATTTTTTGAGTCTATACTTTGTAGTTTTTTCTTATTTTTATTGTTCAATGAAAATTGTATGGTTTATTTCCAGTATATTTTTAGTCATGTTTCACTGTTTTCTATTTTTTTTTTCTCATGACATTAATAGGAAGACGTTCGATAGTATGTAATAGTTAAAAATTTTCGGTATATTATCAATATCTTTTCGGCATATTTTCTCATGGCATTAACAAGAAAACGTTCGACGGTATATTATAAGTATATTCTCGGTATATTTTCTCATGACATTAACAGAAAGACGTTCGACGGGTATATGTACAGTATATTTGCAGTATATGTTAAAGCAATATATATAGGCGATGAAGATTTCGTGAAATTTCGTACTCTTTGCCCGATTTCCTGAAATCACGTGCTAGGAACATGGAAGGTTGTTCCACTTACCTTGTAACTGATTTTAGGCATGATTATGAACATGGAAGGTTGTTCCACTTACCTTGTAATTGATTGTAGGCATGATTATAATTAATATTTATCTTTTAGGTATATACACAATTTAATTGGTATGGATAGTAATATTGCAATTATCTAAAAATCAGTAAGTATACATGAAAATTTCCCTATATAAAATCCGAAATGGGTCTTCCAAGTTCCAACATTGCAGCCCATTTGCTTCTCACATTCCCTTTCTTTTGATAGCTTTATTTCCACTATAAAAGTTTTTCTAATTTATATGGGCTTTATATATATATAGATATAATATGGGCTATATATAATAGGCTTTTTTTTTTCTAGGCCCACACTGGTCTTGCTATGCCTACACCCCTATTTGTTTATCTTTGCTTGTTCTTAACCGTAATCTTGGTTGTTTTCTTCTTTGGCTCTGTTTGCGATTGTTTGGGTCTGAGCACAGTTCACAGTAGATGGAAGGGAGCTGGTGGCTAAACTTTAAAAAGATTTTCTTTCCAAAAAGGAGGTGGGAGGAGTAACTTTGTCCAAAAAGGATCTCCCTCTGTTGTGGAGAAACTTGATATGTTGTGGAGAAACTTGATATGTT